AAATTAAGAAGGTATTATATGTAGGAGTTTTCTTTTAATTTATTTTGTGATACCAGTTTCAATCACTGTAGAGAAGCCCCATTATGAATTTAAATACTGAGAAAAGGGTTTTGTGTGTGTGTGTGTGTATGTGTGTGTGTAAGACAGGACAGTTTTGGGTTTTTTTGCTTTTGTTGGTTTGTTTTGGTTTTGGTTTTCAAACATTTATCTACCTCACTCTTATTTTTTATATGTGTATATATACACAAGAATACATCTCACATTTCTCAGCACCTGACAACATGCCGTTGATACTGGTAACCTCATCTACACCACAGGCCGCACGCACCAGGCGAGGCAGAGAGAGGCCAGGCTGTGTCCGGGGTCAAAGCAACACTAATACCCCTCTCCACTCAAGTCAGACAGCTTGCCTTTTTCTGAGATGTCTCGTTTTGTGTTGCTTTCGTTCTTCTCCTAACTTGGTTTCCTAAGAGGTTGTGAGGTGTTAGGATTTCCTTCCTCCCGGCCCAGGGCACCCGCACTCTGCTGGGAGGCGAGCGGAGGCGCGCAGCGGGGAGGCCGCTCAGCTGCCCCCGGGCTGGCTGGCTTTGAAAGGGACTCCGTGCAGCTTGAAGGACAGACAGACTCTGTCATTGGAAGAGCACTCGTTTCCTAGGCTGGGAGGACAGGAAGGACCCCGGGGTTGGGGGGGGGGGCACGGGCAGGCCGTCAGTCTCTGGGTTAGAGTCCCACCTGGAAAGGTGCGATGTTTGGATGTGAGCCGCTGCTCTGGCCGCCGTGGGCCAGGCCTGCCCGAGGTGGGGTCGTGCCGTCGCTGCGCTGGGTCAAGTTCAGTGGTGCAGCCACATCAGCGCTTTTGAGGGCTCGGTCTGCCAGGCCTGTGGGGGAACGCAGAGGTTCCTGACCTGCAGTCCCATTCAGGTTGTACAGAGGAGACAAGTGTCCGCACCCCCCCCCCACCCAGACTGTTCCTCAACTTCACCCTCATCTCCTCCTCCCCCAGGGGAAAACAGAGACCAAACCTTCGGGCTGGAAAGGGCTGGTGGAGGGTGCCCAGCCTCCTTCTGGGGTGGTGTGTCTCCTGCCAGGGCCGCGCCCCCATCCCGCCCTCCCGCTGCTCACAGGGGTGGAGGGCACATAGCCCGACTCCAGCAGCTGCTCCCCCAGGCCCTGGTGACCCCATCCGGGAAAGGTGCTGGGGGTCTGCCCAAAGTGGGGATGGCTCCTTTCAGTTCCAGCCCCGCGGTTAAGCTCAGGAGCGCACTTCCTCCTGCGAGAACACTACCCTCTTTTCCCAAGGCCCCTGGCATCTTAAGGTCACTGAGAAATACTGTTGGATCAGGGTTTTCTTCTTCCACACTGTAGGTGACCCCTTGGAATAGTGGCCGCTCCTCTTTTGCACATACCTACCGGTTTCCACAACTGGATTTCTACAGATCATTCAGCTGGTTATAAGGGTTTTGTTTAAACTGTCCCGAGTTGTTGGTGTCCCTTTGTTTTTGTTTTATGTAGGTGGATTTTCTTTAAGTAGAAAGAAAACACTAATAGTGTAGTGCCCATCATAACAAATGCTTCAGAAACACTTAAATAAAAGAAAATTTTGCTTGTGTGATGGTGCAGTCATTTTACTGGACCAAACCACCCACCTTGACTATCCTAAGGCATCATCTATCCACAGTTCTAGCCTAATTTTGTGCTGATTTTCCCACCTCTTCTTGATTTTTTCTCTCTTGTATGCTCCAAGTAATCTAATCAAGCTGAGTTGTGGCATTTTCCATGCAACCTCCTTCTGATAGCAGCTCACACTGCTTGAAGTGATGTGAACCACTGAGGCACATCATCGAATTGATGTGCGCATTAAAACATTAGCACACACAGCCCTTCCCTGAGGCAGCAGGAGCTGGTATATTCTGGAGACACTGTCGAACTTCAGCCGTGTGAGCCCCAGACCACCCCAGCTCTCCTTTATGGGATGGCATGACGTTTGACACACAATTGGAATGAGCTTCCTCCATGGAAGATAGAAGACCATGTTCGTGGCCAACACTGGCCTCTCCTTCCAGCCTGTTGCTTAGGACTTGGGACATTTTGATGGGAGGAAACGTGGCTTGGTAAAATAGAAAAAAAGTGCTTATTGTGGAACCACCCGACGGCAAAAATGCTTGGCAGGAGGTGACGTGCTTTGGTTGGGATAACAGATTGACGAGCCAAGTACGATGCCAAACTCTAAGGCCAGTTTGTTCCACCAAAGCCTCTCTCTTGGCAGCTCACCTCCACAGGCAGGAGGCAGTGCGTGATGCAGGCTGCTGTCGTGGCAAGGTCACACGAGCTCAGATCGGTGAGGAGGTTAGGTTGCTCGGTCCAAGGTCCGCAGCTGTCACTGCTGGGTTCCCCTATGGTGGCCGATGTCAACGGCAACTCCTTTCCAAAACACAGGCACCCTCCAGTTGGCAGTAATGCTCCACAGTATGCCTTGGCCCATTCCAGCAGTCCCACTAATACATGTAAGGTTTGGGGTTTGTTCTTTTGTTACTGTTACGTTTGTGTTTGTCGGCTGTTTTTTTTATTTCCTGGGCTAAGCAGCATTGGGAGATACGGACCAGATCCACCCTGTAAGCACCAGTGATGAAAGTCAACCTTTCTTACTCCCCTCTGACTAGTCGGTGGTACAAATGAGAATTTCAAGAGAGGATGTTGTCTAGACTGAACCTCTGTTGCCAGAGATGCTGAAGATACAGACCTTGGACAGGCCAGAGGGTTTCATTTCGGGCCTCCAGCTTAGCTGACTCGTTGATCACTTAGAGAAAAAGCAGACTGGACACTCCTTGACGGTGGGATGATGAGACAGTAGGAAACCACTGTAACCGGGTCATGACGTGAGGCCAAGCAAAGACTGGCAAGCAGAAGGGGAACGGGGCTGGGAAGAAGTGTGGGCCATGTTTTGAACCTGATGGTTTCTGAAGGTATCAGACCACATCAAGGCTCAACAGTCATCCGTGGGCATTTGGTTTTGACCAAGAAACCGAACATCCTCCTTTGGACACTGTTGTCACAGAGTTCAGTGAAATCGGTCAAGACCGCGAACTGCACCGCACCCGTCAGTTGTCAGTTCTGGGGCATGACTTTAGGGTTTTGTTTTATTTTGTTTATGCAAGAACATAATGATCACTCATCTGTATGTCCACGTTTGTGTGTGTCCACATCTTTCTGGTAAACATTGTTCTAATTAGTCACTCATTAGCGTTTTCAATAGGGCTCTTAAGTCCAGTAGATTACGGGTAGTCAGTTGACGAAGATCTGGTTTACAAGAACTAATTAAATGTTTCATTGCATTTTTGTAAGAACATAGAATAATTTTATAAAATGTTTGTAGTTTATAATTGCCGAAAATAATTTAAAGACACTTTTTTTCTGTGTGTGCAAATGTGCGTTTGTGATCCATTTTTTTTAGGACACCTGTTTCCTAGCGAGCTTTACAATATGCCAAAAAAAAAAAAAAAAAGAAAGAAAAAAGAAGAAAAAAAAAAAAAGGATTTTTCCCTGACCCAGGCCGTGGTTCACCCTCTTTTCCCCCCAATGCTTTGTGCCCTAGTTTATAACAAAGGAAAGATGATGATTTAAGAAGTAGTTCTGTATCTTCAGTGTCTTGGTCTTCCAGAACCCTCTGGTTGGGAAGGGGCTCATCTTTGGCCATTTCCCTTGGGAGTGTAGCTACTCAGACTGAAGGAACCTCACTGGCCAAGGACACAGCCGCAGCGTGGCAGCCCAGCGGTGCCCGTGGTGCTGAGGAGCCTCCGGCGGGTTGGGCTGCTTGTCGCCGCTGTGGTGCGCAGCCTGGACAGGGAAGGCCTTGAGGGCACAGCTGATGGCTTCACAGTGAGCGCAGCACACAGCCTTGTCACATGAACGATGACGATTCTGGCGCCCACGGGCCGTTCGCTTACATGCCTCAGGTCGTGATTCGCGCTTTGTTCTAACAAGGAAGAGACCCTATTTATTTTATTTAAGGCAGAACACCGAAGACACATTTTTCTAGTCTAAAACAAGTCCTTTTAATAAAGTAAAAACGACACACACACACAAATGTGTTTCAGTTGGACTGTATTTCCTCTAGCTCCCAATGGATTACTGGCCATGTCTCTACTTCTCCACAGAATCTCCATCGGTAGAAACATCTGGATGTTTTGCACTACATGGGAGAAAGGTCCAGAAACGATTAGGGTTTTTTTTTTTTTTTTTTGCGTTCAACTGTTCATTCAGGTGTTTGGCGTTGCGTAGACACAGCCACAGGTGGAATCGTTGCTTGGCAAAAACACCTGTCTGCTTTCTAAGCCGGCGAGGCTGAGGGGAGAGGTTTGCCAGAGTATGTCTACCTCTGGGACAAAAAAAAAAAAAAAAGAATCAAACCAGAAGGCGCAATGGAATGGATGCATTGCAAATAATGCATTTTCTGAGTTTTCTTGTTTAAAAAAAAATTTTTTTAAAAAGTAAAAAAAAAGGTAATAACATGGCCAATTTGTTACATAAAATGACTTTCTGTGTATAAATTATTCCTAAAAATAAATTCCTCTGTTTATATAAAAAAAATCAGTAGATGAAAAAAATTTCAAAATGTTTTTGTATATTCTGTTGTAAGAATTTATTCCTGTTACTGCGATATACTCTGGATTCTTTACATTATGAGAAAAAAAAGAAACTTTGTCTATTTTGAATGGCTGAAGCTAAGGCAACTTTAGTTTCTCTTACTCTGCTTTTTTCTAGTAGGTAAAGTACTACATGGTTTAAGTTAAATAAAAGAATTCTGTATGCATTTTTGGTCTCTGATTTGGTCCCCTCCCTTTCTGGAAGAATCACCACGCTTCTGAGGCAGGGAAGCCGAGCCGCGTGTGGTGTGTGTGCCCACACATGTCGCTCGGCGCTGTTCTGTGGAAAGGCTTTGCTTTGCTTTCTGACAGCTGAACCTTCCAGCATGCAAACTGCTGGTGAAGACAGGGAAGCTATTCTGTTTCTCACTCCATTAAATCAGCTCGAAAATTTGAATACATAAGATATAGAAATCTGGACTTCATTTTTGACTGATCTGTAGACTTTTCCTGTATCTTCCACTGACAAAAGTCAGGCCGGGGCAGGTTTGCTGTAGGTGACTCTGGGGCAAAGGACTCACACTTCACATTTCCCTGTCCTTGCTGGCACCTCGCAGCCAGCATACCTACTCGGGATGCGGGGCAGAACCAAGCGAGCACACACAGGATGTGCCTCCCTGGAGGTGTTCAGAATGTTACTTTCTAGCTGATGATCTTGGCCCTCCCGGGGCCTCTACAATCCAGCCATCGTTTTATTGCCCGGGGAAGTGGCCATAGTAAGAAATGAGAAATGTGAATATATGTTCAAAGGAAGCAAGTTAAGTGTTCTGGAATCAGACCAGAGGTGCACAGACACATCGGGAAGGCAAGCTGACCATTTCACTGGACTTTGATCACAGGAAACTCTACTCCTGGAACAAAGGCCACCGTATAAAGGGCTGAATAGCAAGGTGTGGGCGGTGGAAGTAAATCAAAGGCCATGGTTATTTAAGATCTGGTGAGTCTCACAAATATTTGGACCTAAAAACAAAAGGCCTTTCTAAGGGAGAGGGCTCTCGCAAGCTCTTGGTGTTGCCCCGGGGTTTGTGCTCACCGTTGTCACGCGGTGGCTGGCGCTCGACCTCGACCGTCACTGGATGACTGATGACTCCGGGCAGGCTCAAAGCTCATTCCCTAGGCTCGGATGGGCGTGCGGGCTGCCGGGGAGGCGGGCGGCCGAGTGGCTTCCAGCCAGCCGCGCCGCACTGGGCACCTGTCCTCCGCCGGAAGCTACAGCACTTTCTTCTCAGGGTGGAGGTGCTGGGTGGTCACAGAGGCCAGTGCCTCCCCCCACCGTGGCACTCTGAGACCACAGAGCCAGCCGGGCTATCTCCGCCTCCGCCCTCACAGGTCCAGCTAGCAGCCCGGACTCAGGAAGGGGTGTGTTTGCCCCGTACGCGCTCATCGCTGACCGACTCGCACATCCATTCTCTTAGCAGGCGTTCACAGCTCTGCACAGGAAGGGTTTTTATTTGTTACAGATGAGCAAACACACAGACATGCCCAAGACCCCCCAACTATTAAGCGACCAACCCAGAGTTCAACCTGTTGACGCTGGGTCAGCTTTCAAACGGACTCCGACCCCCCGCGGGCCAGCCACAGGTAAACAGGCCCCGGTGCATATGCACGGGGGACAGCAGGCCACCTAGACCGGGAGGCGCACGGGCCCTCTGGGGAGTCCTCCTCAAGAACACCGGAGGTCGCACAGGGAGAGATGATGGAGACGTTCATCAAGAGGGAGCTCGGGCCTCCTCACAGGATGACATCTGAAAGTTGGTAAAATGTGTATGGCTTGAAATAACCCTGAGGCCCCCTGCTTGCCCCTGGCCTGAGACAGAAGCTACAATGGGGGAGGGGGACAGGGCTCTGGGCGGCAGGTGTTTGCCTACAAATACAGAAGGATCTCTATGCTAACAACCCTGCAGCCGGACCTACACATGTGAGCCACACCATCCCACCCCACCTGGCTGGCTCTGATCAGCTCCAATGTGACTGATCTGTCCTATGTCAAATAAGCCAGTTTCATTTGCAAAAGGGGTCCTGTAGAGTCTGTACCAAAGGCTCAAGTATGCTGGAGAGCTATTGATAAACCAAGCAAGGCCTGCCCGGTTCCTTTGTTATTAAGTTGCAAATGCTTTTCCTTCTAGTGAAAGAATCTGGACACTAAGTAAACAATGCCTTTTTTTTTTAATGTAATTAAGTGAAAGTGATAGCTGTGAGCACAACACCGTAACAAATTTCCCAGAGCTTAGCCACTGGCACCTTCCACCCCTTCCTCCAAAAACCAATGTATCTCAATGCATATTTGCCCCAGAAAACACGAGACAAGCAAAACCTGGCTTTGAGCAGCTTGGCACAAGAGCCAGGGCAGTGTTTGCCCAAAGGCAACATGATAGCTGAAAAGGGGCGATTCTGTTTCCAAAAAGTAGGGATAACACCCAACATGGCAGAGAAGCCAAACCCAGCTATGATCCCTTGCTTGAAGACCAAACACTCCTGCTAGGAATATAAACTAGGGAAGCTGCCATGGAAAACAGTATGGCGGACCCTCAGAACCTTGAACGTAGGAACACCTTATGATCCAGCAATTCCCCTTTTAGGTATAGAAACAAAACAACCGCAACTGGGGACTCTGACCTATTTTCTTTTGCACACCAGTGTACACAGTAGTAGTACTCATAATAACCAAAAGGTGGAAGCAACCCAGTGTCCACCAAAGGATGACTGGATAAACTAAATGTGGTCTACACATACAATGAAATATTCCTCCGTCTAAAAAAACGAAATTCTGACACATGCTACAACATGGATGAACCTCGAAGACATTATGCTCCGTGAACTAATAAGCCAGTCACAAAAGGACAAATAGTGTGATTCATTTATATGAGGTCCTCAGAGTAGTCAAGTTCAGAGATGGAGGGTGGAATAATGGTTGCCAAGGGCTAGGGGAAGGAGGGGGCGTGTTGTTTAATGGGGACAGAGTTTCAGTTTGGGATGTTGAGAAAGTTCTAGAGATAGATGGTGGTGATGACTGCACAAGTGAATGCCCATAAACACTGAAAAATGTTTAAAAGGGTAAATTTTATGTTATGTATTACACACAACTTTTAAAAAAGAGTAGAAAAATAAAAACCAAACACTAGAGACTCGGGTCAAAAGCTGCACGCAGCACCTGGATGCGTGAGGGTGGAGGCCAGGGAGGGGCTACCGAGCGGCCACTCTGCCTGTTTCCCCCTGGTCATAGATCAACCCATCACAGGCAGCTCTGCCCAACAGGTCTGCAGTCTTAGCAATCTGGGCAGGATCCCACAGGCCCCTGCACGGTCTTTTTAAGAGAAAAAAAAAATTACTAGGATTTCATTTTATTGTCATGAAAACCATAACTGAAGCTAGTTAATCCCTTGTGAAATGTCTGCCTTTCAGAGTGTTCTTTCTTCTGACAATAAAATAACCTTTTGCGATTTCGTTGGGCTAATTCAGAGCTTTTTTCCCTCTGTGTAAACTGTTTTACAAGCCATTTTTTAAAAGTCTCTCAAAGCACAGTTGAACTCTGCACACAGGATTGAAACATTTAATTTTCTCCAAAGGAGCAGTCCCCCAATTGGTTCCCCCGGGCTGGAATCACGGCGGTTGAGTTTTCTGCAAACCAGGGTTTGAGCTCAGGCTTTCTCAGCTCCTCCAGCATGTCCTGGATGATGACTTGCAGGGCTTTTCCCAGCAGCCTGGCTGGGAGCCAACGGGATAATGGAGGCACGTGGATGAGTGCCGCATACCCATTTCCATGATGCAAAGACAGGTAATAGGTGTAATCGCAGACATATCTGCAACCACATGAAATGCCGTGTTACTAACTCCCTGGAAAAGCCTCTAACCCCAGGGAAATGTAAGCATAAGGGATAATGCAGCATCCCCAAAACATGAGGAAGTTGGACTGCCACCCAGGGAGATTTAGGTTTTGTTCTTCTGCCTCAGAAGAGTTGCTGGGAATGAACCGGGGAGGGACTGATTTTTGGTCTCACGGTCCTACAATCAGCAAGCAGCAGAGCCTGGAAAGGGACCAGATTTTCAAGCAACTAGTCCAAAACACCTTTACACCCCAAACCCCCCTCATTCATGTCTACTGAGTCACTTGTTCATTCATTCTTGGGGCGGGGGTGGGGAGAAACTACCTCCTGGTGGTCAGAATTTGGAGGAACCAAAGCAAATTCATCTCTATGTGGGGCTAAATCGGAATAGTTAACTCACAACTTGGGACGCAATAAAGAAAAACAAAGCATCCACAAAACATTAGTGGCTCTCAAAACATGCCTTCCCATCTCTTCTTCTCTATCCACGCACCAAGGGCCGGGGGGGGCTGGGGGGGTGGGGACGACATCTTGGTGGTCTGCAGGAGCCGCCCTGGGGTGCCACGGCGTGAGCAAGTGCCCAGCCGGACCACAGAGGATGGCTTCCCGGTGCGGAAGGGGGACATGTGGGGAGAGACCCTGGTCAGAGGAGGCACTGCGGTCGTTCCCCCTCCTCTACCCCCCACACCCGCAGGACGTACCTGCCCGCATCTTGAGAAAAGGTCACCTCCACGCCCTCCACGGCTACGCGCTTGCTCACCGCCTTCATGCTGACCTCCGACACGATCACTTCCGGGCCATCCGGAAGGCACTCGCCACGCGCCGGCCGGAAGCCCCGGATGTCCGCGTTCCGGTAGCCCCGGTTCTTGGCGCACTGCTCCAGAACGATTGCCTTGGCAGAGGTGGCCAGGCCGATGTGCACAGCGAGCTGCGTCTGCACACGCGGCGGACGAGAGATTAGGGAAACTGAGGCCTGCTCTGCTCCCCGGATGTGGCTGAAGGGCCAAGCCCAGAGCGAGCGCAAGGGTGCAAAGCATCGCAAAACCCAGATCTGGCACACAACCTCCGGGCTTCCCCGCTGACCTCCCCTAATGAATGTGCGGGAATGAAAAACAACTGGATAGAAACCCATGTGGCATTTAATTTAACTAGTTTTATAGGGGCAAATATTCTTGCAGGGTAATGTATTCCCCTCTTTTCCCTGCGGGGGGGGGGGTCCCCTGGTAGCTAAGACTAGCACGGGAGCAGCTTAGCATTTCTGGGGAATCTTCCCTCTCTTGTATGAAACTCTAATAAAGGAAGTTAGTAACAATGTGATAAAATATTGTTAGGATTTTTTGAGCTAATTATTTTTCCTCTTTGAAAAAATAGCTGTGGAGCATATTATCAAAACACCTGGGACAGTTGTCTTAATGGCATGGTGGTGTGTGTTGTGTTAATCTCATCATCTGGTCTTCCTAGTTTTTGGACATTTGTATCAGTTTTTTATATAATGACTCTGTTCAGATAAAAAAGGCTGGGTGTGATGAAGATGGGACCTCTCCAGACAGGCTGCCCGCCAACCGCCCTGCCAGGCCCAAAAGGTCCCTGTCTCTTGCTTCACCTCACAGGCAGCCTGCCCTGCATGGCCATGGCTGGGACCTAACCCAAGGGCCTATCTGTTGGGTGGAAACTATCTCTGAGTCCTGGCGAGGAATAAAGATTCCATTTATTGTCCTCCTTCTCTCTCTCCAGAATCTTCTTCCAAGATCCACTCTGTGTTTCAGCTTAAACTTTTACAAACAGACCCAGAACCTTAGAAAATTGGCTGGGACCTTACTGGTAGGACACGGGGGCGGGGTGCACCCCTCAGCCATCAACCCTAGAACCAGGGTCCGGGGGTCCACAGGCTCTGGGGCTCCACCTCGTCATCTTCCCCCCCCACCCCCCAGCTTCACTGCGTCCTCAGCCATCATTTACTTGCGGTTGAAGGTCTTCCCAGATTCTGGTGACCCTCTGCTTCACCTCCCTGTAATCTACAGGTAGCTGAAGAATCCGCAGTTCCACCTCCATGTCACTGTTCAGGCCCAGCTTGGACAGCTCCTGCAGAAAGAAGCAGGTAGACTCACCTTTCTTGATGGAGGAGTGGGGGAGTCCCTGAAAAGCTAACACTTGGGTTGCTCACTCTTTTCCCAGGGCCCTTCTGTGGGCCTGGACCCTGCCCTCAAGGAGCTCACATGATGGTGAGGGGCCAGCAGGAGAGACACAGTTCCTGCCCCTCAAGGCCCCGAAAGCTTCTCCCATTGGGCTGTGGGTACCCCGGTGGCATATCTGACCCAGCCTGCTGATTAGAACATAGTCCCCCAAAGGGATGCAGGGCAGATGTAGAGAACAGATGGGAGTGAGCCAGATGAAGAAGCTGGGGAAGGGCGTGCCAGGCAGAGGGGCTTCAGAGGCCTGGGGGAGCATGAGCGCCTGAGCCTTTGGGAAACATGGTGTGACTTGGCGCTGGGCAGTGGGTGTGGGCCAGGGGAAGCCTTCTTCCGGGTGTCCTGCACCTCCAAGGACAGGATGTTTAGCACCCCTGGCCTCTGAGCTGAGCATTAACTGCCTGTAGCACCCCCAGGCATTTTAACAAGTAACCCACCACCACCCATGGTGTATCAGGGGGCACTGCACGTGGGCAAGGGTGGGAACAGAAGCTAGAAAAGTCTGTGGAAGCCAGACTGAGCGCTCAGCTAGAGACTGGACTTTAGTTAAAGCAAAAGGGAGCCATCAAAGGATTGTGCGCAAGGAGCTAATGGGTCAGAGCTGCCTGCTGAGAGGATGGAGGTAGAAGTGGGCTGGCGGCTATCATGAGGTTGACTTTGGACAGGCTGAGTATGAAGGGGAGGGACCTGGTTCCTTGGCTCTGTGTGTCTGGAGCTCACAGAGAGGATTCTGGGAAGACAGTGGCATGTCAGGGCTGAAAAACATGGGTTTAGGTGAGATCCAGACAGAGTGGTGGAGGAGGGGGGAGGTGGAGAGAGGAAAGAAGGGCTGTGGAGAAAACCCAAGGTCAGGGAGCACCCTCCTTCACAGGTGGGAGTTTGGAAGGAAGAAAGCTAGGGAGTGAGATCTTAGGCCTGTGCTATTCGCTGTTGGGAAACGTTAAATCGGGAACCTAGAGGCCAAGTCCTTCTCCTGCTCCGGGAGCTGTGCTGGTCACCAGGATGGTTTTGGATTAGCACCTCTCTTTTTCCTGCCTCCCTTCACTGGCAATTTAGGACCTCCAGGAGCATGCATCCGGGGACAGAGGTTGCAGTCGGCCTTGTCAGACCTGCCCAAAAGTCATAGAGGGGACAACCCAGGGCCCTGCCCTGGGCTTCAGAGGAGACAGGCAGGGATGATGGGCCCCAATGCCAGTCAGTGTCCACTGCTCTGATGGAGGATGGCACTCCTGGCCGACTTTTGGCGTCTCGGGTCTGTCCTCAACCAGCTCGGCCATCCTGAGGGGCTCGGCTCTGCCCACTGGACACCCGCTCAGAAGCCCACTTCCCCTGCCCGGCTCAAGCTTTGTCGTCTTCCAAAAGAAAGTGCCAACATCACATCCACATTTGGGGCCTGAAAGGGAGAATTCATTTGCCTGACTCTGGGGGTGGGAGGCGGGAAGGAGGGCCAGGTTACGTGGGGCGGGGGCCTCCAGGTGGACATTCCAAGGGCCAGACAGACCAAGGGGGTTCCAACTCCTGTGCCCCACCCCCTTGAGCCCTGTCCTGTGGCGAATGAGTGAGACGAGAGCAGGGAGGCTGCACAGGGCCTGGCCGCCCGTCGGAAGTCCCAGCGCAGGCAGGCATCACCCGGAGGCCACCTTTGCCTTTGTCATGCGGGTGAGGGGGCTGTGGCTTGGCTCCAGGCTGCTTCTCAGAACCCAGTCATCTGCAAAGCACTAGTTTCTTCTACTTGGTGGGGTTCTCACGGGGTCTGGCTCTGAGCAAAGCCTACAGAGGAGCCCCAGAACCCAATGGAGTTGTCTGGGAATCTGCTTTCAGAGCTAACCACCCCCCACCTCCAAGAAGCGGCTGTAGCCCAGTCATCAGTGGAAATGTCGAGGAATTATCACTAAGCCTGCAAAGACACGATGCCCTAGGGATGGGGACATCCACCCTGAGCCAGGCAGGCCCAGGCAGGCTCAGCACCCAGCCGGCTCGGCCGTGACCGGTCACAGCCTCCCCTTCCCAGAGCAATGCGGTTCCGCTTCTGGATTGGCACATGGAAGCCCAGACCAAAGCAGGCCACAGCGGGGGCCCCCTCTTTTTGCTTTTTCCCTACCTCAGCTTTTTCTTGCCACCCACCCCACGCCAAGCCAGTTGAGAGGAGAGGAGAGAGGAAGCAAGTCCCTGGACATCCCATGGGTCTCCCAGCTGCTGCCGGGGTCCCAGGGGCCGGCTTTGGGGAGCTCCCTTGCATGACTTTCCTGTGGCTGTCATAACAAAATGGGTGGCTTAGTACCAAACTTTATCACCCAAGCCTGTAGGAAAGAAGTCCCAAATCCAGGGGTCGGCAGGGCCATGCTCCCTCTAAACCTGTAGGAGGAGGACCCCACCTGCTTCTTCCAGCTTCGGGGAGTCCCGGGCAGCCCTGGGCCTCCCCAGTGTCTCTTCATGGTCTTCCCTCGGAGTCCAGGTCCCCCCGTTTTATAAGGACGCTCAGCCCCTGACCCCATCTGAGGCCGTGATGATGGCATCACCCTGGCCAAAGCAGAAAGTGCCGGGAAGCCGAACTGTCACCCTCCTGGGAATCCCCAGAGCTGGTGTGGGATGAATGGCATTTGACATTCGACTTGACACCTCTGTGTTTTTTTCTTTATCTGGAAAACGATGCCCAGGAGATTAAAGCATCCCGCTTCTGCTCATCACATGTTGCCTTTCAAGTGGCCCACCCGATGCCCAGGTGCACCTGACTGCAGGCTGGTGCTCGCATGCCCCCCGTGGGGTCCAGTGGAAGTCAGCGGCCAGGGCCCAGCTCCGTGGCCGGCCCCATGGAAACCAGAGCACAGGACACACGGACACGGACTCCGCGGGGAATAAATACAGGTGTCACGTGCTGCATCCCATCAGCTAAGGCCGTTTGTTGCCACCCAGTCAATGAAGAAAAACTTCTGGCGTCTAGAGACCTTTGGATATGAGAGTTGCACATAAGGGATTGTGGACCCGTTCAAACTTGAACTGGTTCAGGTGGTGCCTTCAGTGTCTTCCTGGCGTGTGTTCTCTTTCTAACTAGAATGTCACCCTCTTCCTCTTTCTCCCCAGGGTCATCCTGACAAGGGAAGAGCCGGCAGCTTGGCGGGTCTGCCCTGTCACCAGTGACTCTTCGCAAGTGCAGAGCCTCCCCTGGGAGGAGGTGACCCCTGCCACCCACACCGTACGGCTGGGAGTCCGGAGGCCTGCTGGGTCCCCCGGAGCCCTTCGAGCTGGGGGAGGGGCGGGGACTGGACGACAACTAAAGCCGACAGAGGACAGAGGAGAGACGGGAGAGCAGCTATACCTCCACAGGCTGCCGGCCTCGCCTGGGCCCTGGCCAAGCCGCCTGGGTGACCCTGGGAAGTCTGCGGACACGCCAAGGTCACCAGGACGGGGGGGGGACGGTAGAAGTCCAAGAGGGTCCTGCGGACTGAAATGTGTCCCCCCCCCAACATTCATAGGCTGAGGCCCTACGCCCCAGTGTGATGGTGTTAGCAGACGGGGCCCTTGGGAGGTGACAGATGAGGCCAGGAGGGTGGGGGCCCCGGGATGGGGTTCGTGTCCTGAAAGGAGAGGAAGACACACCAGAGCCTGTCTTTCTCTGCCACGGGAGGACACAGCCAGAAGGTGGCCATCTGCCAGCCAGGTGGAGGGTTCTCACCAGAAACCGAATCTGCCGGCACCTTGATCTCAGACTTCCCAGCCTCCAGAAATCTGAGAAATAAATGTCTGTTGTTTAAACCACCCAGGCTATGAAATTTTGTTATGGCAGCTCGAGCTGACTGATAACACAGGGCTTCCGGTCAGTAATGAGATAGGGCCCAGCTGAGTCTCAGATACATGCCCACTCAGCCATCCAGCTCCTCATGAAGCTTGAAAGGGCCATGCACAGCCTGGGACTGCAGTCAGAAGCTGACCTGGGATATTGAGGAAACTTTTCTAACTTAAAATCATCAAGAGAGTCTCCAGGCACTGCTTCACGTGGATAGTCCGCTCGCTCTCTCATTCTCTCTCTCTCTCTCTCACACACAGACACACACACACACACACACACAGAGTCCATACATATGTGTGTCTCTCTCAAACACACACGAGTCCATACATATGTGATGTATGTGTCTCTCTCACACACAGACACACACACACACACACACACACACACTTGGTGTCCTGGCCCACCTCCCCAGTGCCCATGGCAGACAAAGGCATTTTACAAAAAAGAAGCCAAGCTGGTGCTCATCACCGGCCTCAGCCTAGAACGACGAGGGCCCAGGGCAGAAGCGGGGACACAGATAGAGCCAGACCCCAACTACAAAGCCACAGGGAAAGGCATGGGGTCAGGAAGACACTGGTTTGAGACCTGGCTCTGCCACCTTCCACTGGGCATGTTACTTAGCTTGGGTGCAACTCAGTTTTCTCATCTGTGAAATGGGGAGAATGAAAAGTCCAAGGAGTTTTCACAAATATTGAATGAGGGGATTCACAAAAAAGTGTCCAGCACAGTGCCTGGCACACAGTCTGGACTTTATATGAGGGATCACTGCTTATAAGTATTAATTATAATTGAGAAAGTCATGCAAGGATTTATTTATTCTACTAAAGTGACATTTAGTAGAATTTGATGAGCCTGGGGCCTGTCAGAAGCAGTGAGTCAAATATTCTGCATAAGCAGAAGGCAGGCCTTCTCTCTGCCGAGAAGGGCTGGTTGTTTTAGCAAAGAGAGTGTAGGTTCTGTGCAAACCTAGAGGGAGCCAGGGGTTTGTGCTTCCTGGATTGGCACACTTTCCTAGCTAGCAGTGCACAGTGTTTTGCACTCAAGGAGGGGAGAGACAGAGCCTGGCACAACCACGCTTACCACGGGAGAATCCTGGGTGCTGTGCC